AGTTAGAAACAACATGGCTTAATTCGATAGTGAACTCGTAAACTGAAATACTGATTTGAAAACTCCTAGTTTCTCTAAAATCTATGCCTACTCCAGGAAACGTGCTTCGACGATGTCGGTTGGACATGAATAACACTGTCCCAGTCACTCCAGTCAGAGATTTAGTCTCGTATAGTGCTCATTCCAAAGGTCATTGAATGAAGCACTTCGCAAGTTACTCTAGCCCATCAACTAAGTCACACTGTTTGACAATAACATACAAGTAGACATTCAAAGTTCGAAATATTTTCGTACATAAACTTCATGTTTAAATATAATTATATTTCCTGTTTTACATTAAAAGTCTTGACATTATTATCTTTTTGTTTCTGTTTAACAAGGTAGAAGAGAATGAGAATGTTGTAAACTTTGCGTTAAGACGAAGAAAGGTACGTCTGGAGGAAACGAAACTGTTTGGGGAGAAGGGTTTCACTGCGTAGGTGAGTGTTCTCTAAAGTATAATTATCTCCACAGATTCAAAGGCTATCAGTTCCATCCACATATGGCACGCGTTCGACGTTTTTACCCACACAAGCACAATGTCGATGGATTTTTCGTGGCGAAAATGAAGAAATTAGCGGCGGCTACTAAGGAGAAAAGTTTCTTAAGACTGGACATATCTAGATGAAGCACCAGGATTACCAAGCCTTCATCCGTGTTTGTGAATAAACAACTTAACCTAACTTCAGCCCTTACTTCTTCAGAACTCAGCGCACGATGGACTTCAGGCGCCTTATTTAGTGTGTGCAGATTTATTTATTTATTTATTTGAACACATAAATATTGGTACAAGAGAGCGCCAATATATATGCGCCACACAAAACAATGAGAATTCGAAGAGAAAAGAAAAAAAAGGTAAGGAGCATAAAAAAGAGAGAACAATACCGAAGAGATTGGTGTAAGGTAGTAGTGAGGGAACGGAAAGGTACAATCAGAAGAAATCTTTCAGTTAAGGGAGACACAACCACTTTTTATGAAGAAAGTAAAAGAAGGTTACAGCAGGATCGCCACTGGCTTCTATTCTGAGCCATATCTGATAACGTCTCTAGCCACTGTGTAGCACCATCTCTCGGTCCCCAACCAGGGAGTCGTGAAGGACCAACACAAGCCAGCCCCTTGCAGCTTTCTTTCATACCACAACACCACGTCATGCACTGACCACCTCTCCGCTTCTTACAACCAGTCCCAGAGTCGGCAAATAATGCACGACGTGAAATTCTCTGGGACGACATTCATAGAACATGTCCAAGCCACCGGAGTCGGCGTTTCAAGATGGTAACACCAATTGCATTATCATCTCTGTGCCCGAACACACGATGCCGAACCTCTGCATTACTGACATGGTGTTGCCACTGAATGTCAGCAATCCTTCGGAGACAACGATGATCGAAGACAGAGTCGTCTAACGTCCTCAACTCGGAGAGGCCAGGTTTCACAAGCATGGGGCGAAAATGCTCTCACCGACGCGCTGTAGATCCGAACTTTTACAGCCAGACTAACATCACGAAGGCGCCAAAGATGGCCCAGATTAGCATAAGCCGCTCCGGCTTTCACTATACATGCAATGACCTCATCACTCACGCCACCACCAGCACTTATGCAGCTACCCAGATACACGAACTTCTCGACTACTTCTATCTGCTCACCATCCAGGGTGAGTACATGATTAGAATCCTGCCAGTCTTGTAGAAGTACTTTGCACTTCGAAGGTGCAAAGCACATACCATACCTATGGACACTGATTGCCAACTGATTAAGTGCGGATTGCATGGCTTGGGCATTATCGCACAGTAAGACAATATCATCCGCATATTGAAGGCCGAGAAGTCTTTCTCCAGGCAACAGATCCACACCACCATTACTTACATTCATCAGAGCTGTTTCCAAAATGTCATCGATGGCAAAGTTGAAGAGGAATAGTGAGATTGGGCAACCTTGTCTAACCCCACTGCTCAAATGGAACAATGGACAGAGGTGGTTGTATGCCCTCACTCTCCCTGAGGTGTTTGCATATAGAGCTTTTAAGATGTTAATAAACTTCTCAGGCACATCCTTCTTCAATAGACAATCCCAGAGAACAGTCCTGTCCAACGAATCGAAGGCAGCCGTGATGTCAAGAGACACTACGATTGTTGGCCTTTGATAAGTATGGCGGCGTTCTAACATTTGGCGGAGGGTGAAGATATGATCAATACATCCTCGACCAGAACGAAACCCAGCCTGCTCCTCTTGAGTCAATCTTTCTCGGGTTTTGAACAACCTACGAAGTATGACGGAAGCCAATAGCTTGGACGCAATCGGAAGTAAACTTATCCCCCAATAGTTGTTACAGGAACGACGTGAACCGTTTTTAAAGATACGGACAACTATCGACTCATTCCATGACGTTGGTACACTCTCTAGTTTCCAAACCTTTGTAAACAACGTCGTCAGTTCCTTAGTCAGAAAGTCACCACCATCTTTTAAAAGAACCGGAGGTAAGTCATCTGGACCCAATGGTTTGTGGCGCTTCAAGGGTTGGAGTTCCTTGCGGACTTCCGCCTTATTTGGTGGATCAGTCGTCACCGGCCATGGAGGGCAGGACAGTCTGATCAATGTTGCCGAAGCAGCAGACCAGTTGAACTGCCCTTCGAAAAATTCTGCCCATCGTCCAAGACATCGAAGGATGTTAGTGATTGGCATCCCTTCATCCTCACAGATTGTTTCGCTCACATCAGGCTTCCTGCTGCCAGTGGCTCGGATGAGTTGGAAGAGCTTCCGGTAATTACCAGATGCAGCTGCTGCTTCCAGCTCATTAGCACGTCATTTTCATGGCGTCATGCGATTGCGACCAATGCTCATCTATACTTTTCAGTGGAATGGTAGCTAGCCTAGAAACTAGCTCGGTTCGATACTTACTTGCAACAGAAGTTGCAACCAGCTTGCTAACATCAATCCGTTGGTAGCGGTCACTTCGTTGGCCACTGAAAAGTAAGGTAAGATTGGCGCAGACCAAGGCATGGTCAGAGTCCAGATAGGTGCTCTGAAAGGAGCGGCAGTCTTGTACACAACCACGCCAGCGGTAGCTGATCGCGATGTAATCAATCTGAGTCCAGGCTTGGGATGCAGAGGGAGGACGCCAGGTGGCACATCGGCGATGATTGTCCCGAAAATTAGTGCTAGCCAGAAACGGGGGCATAGGCAGAGATGACGAAAAAACATCGTTTCTCACGCCGATTTCTCACTTTGATGGAACTTTCTAATCTAACAGCACATAACCGACTGTTAATGGGGATCCAATCGATTAGTGCTGCCTCAGCTCTAGCGCTTAGTGCGACACCAAGGCGAGCAAGACCAGACGAAGATGCCACAGAGTCCCCTGATAAGCGCACATCAAACAAGCTATTAGAAGCGACAGATAGAGAGCGAATTTGTAGTACTTCACCAGAGTCGTGAATACGGGTCTCGGATAGACAACACACGTCGATATTAAGACTTTCTTAAGACATAGCCAGCCCTATTTGTTGTCCGACCTGCATAAGTGTGCGAACGTTGAAGGCAGCCAGTTTGAATGGTGCACGTGGTTTCAGAAAAACTGCTTCAGTACTCATATTCAGTGGAGACATGCAATTTCCAACTGGACAGTGAGTCGAGAACGTTTAGATACAGTCGAATTCCCACCAAAGACGAGCCACTGTCTAAGTATAAAAGAGGGTGAATAATGTGGTAAATAATAATAGTAATAATAATGACAATAATAGTAATGATAATAATTTGAATCATTTAATTGTTTTTCGAAGCGAGAAAAGTCGTTTTTGCGTGTGGGCTGTGATACTGCCCGGCTGCCCCAACCGAAGCAGGTGGTTATCTTAGGTGGCCATACCCCGAGCAGATTCCTGGTCGTAACAATATGGTTCTAAGATAGTTAACGATGTCAGAGACCCAGATGGCTGGCCTTCTGTACCTCTTGCTAATGTACTCAATTTGATAATGAGTCACATCTACATGCGGAAGTTCCGTGACATCTGCACTTCCTTCCAAGTCTTCTATCTCACCTATCATACCATACAATATCTCACCGTAAATAATCTGTCACACGTTACACAATACTTAGGAATTGGAGAGGGAGATTGGTTATGAATACTGTGGGCTTGAGTGTTGTGAGAGGTATGAGGGCAATTATCACTTCCCGGTTGCCCACATCGTGGAAGGGTTCTTTCAAAAGTATCTGAGAAGGAAATTGGGTTAGAGTTCGTCTGAACGATCCGAGAGCTTGACAACAGTGCTCAAGAAACAACTGCTTGAGGTCGGTCACACACGACCCTTTTGTTAGTAATTTTGGCGTTAGCTTCGTACTTGTTAAGACCCTACCGTCGGACGGATATCCCGTGGGCTAAGGCAAAGTGTGCATTTTTCGAGTAGACGTTCTCTAACCCCACATTTCCTTTGTGGGATGGCGGCATCGCTGTTATAGTTCGCCTATGGGTTTGCTGCTTCCAGTCTTACCGCTCTTCAACCGACCTGTCTGGCATGGTAGGATCTTGAGGAACTATTGTTCCAGCCACTATAGCTCGATTGGTTCATCACGACAGGCAAGCCCGACCACCACGTAAAAGTAGCAGCAACGGTCGTGATATCAGATACATAAATGCTACGAGTATTTTAATACCTATGATGGATACAGTCGTGTGTAGATGGACACAAAGCTTTTAATCTTACTAACTATTGAGTCTGAGGTTGACCACAGTTGTATAACTAGAGGCGAAAAAGCTGAGGCCTAGAGTCGTTTATAAATACATTATGAAGCTTGTCACAATTTCGGTATTTTTAAGTGGCAACTGTATTGGAAAGAAAACTAGAGATTATCAGCAAAATATAGACATCGATGAGCACTAATCATAGTGGAATTTAATTACAGTCAAGGTTGAATATATTATAAATCCAGGAAATAAATTAATTGAAATTTATTCGGTCAAATGTAGTTACGATTGACTGCGCTTCCGAAAGTCTTCGAAAAAAGATTTTACTTCTGATTCTGTTACAATCTGAAAGACAGAAAAAGGATATGAGTAGGAAATGGTAAAAATAGAAGTCAATGGTTATTTCATAGTAGAAAATATAACAAACTAATCGCCTACATCTAGGTCAACAAGTTTTCATTTGACACAAAATATGGGGCAAGTATTGGGTTTAAACATCTAACAACGAAATTTGTTTCGTAGGGATAACAAACGTTTTTCGAGACATACTGAGACAGCACTGAACTCTATACAAGGGAGGACGCTAAAAAGTTTCCACATGAGTGAGCTACACTTTCTATCAGGTCATGGTATGATATGTCACAAATAACTACGACAACAAAGGCTAGCATAGATCTCTTCACAATTTATACAACTTGATGTACAAAGAACTAAACAGATAAGTGAGGTACTTACGTGGTTTTTATCTCTCTTCTTGGTGAAAAATTCTTCCAGAGCCTCTTTCAGTCGTACGAATCCTACATTAAAAGTATACTTTATTAGTTTTGGAAAATATGCTAATGACAGTCAGTGCATTCAATTACAGAGCTTGTTAGGTATTTAAGTGGGATTGATACCATTCATCTCTTCAGGTACAATAATCTGATTGTTGACATCATTTAACCTAGGTTTTCTGGGTATGGATGTTCGCATCACAAAGTAGAGACCTATTTCCGGATAGATAGTTATATTTACTTAGAATGTTGTAACGTACGAACAGGATCTAAAGATGTTATTATACTCTTACGCTTTATTGGTAGTTTACTATTTATTTGGGAGCAATAGTGTGTCGTCTAGCGCTGCTATATAAACCTAGACACTAAGTAATGGATTGTTTTTTACCCAAACATTTATACTGTATACACTGAATATCCGCAAACTTATGGTAACAAAGTTGACGTGAATCAATAATCTAACCATAATTTATACCTAAATGAAATAACTCACAAGAAAATACACTTTGAATTTAGTGATATACGTCTACTACAAAAGCCACGAGATATTTTTCCAGGTCCTTGCTTAATAAATACTAATACAATACTTCTTGTTCACTCAGTATTATAACGAACATCCCATAAGTTATTACCTTGTACAATAAAGACCATGTAAGTCAGTAACTGTGACGAACTCGTCCTAACTCTGCTTGATTCTAGCGTAAACCCTGTTTCTCTTTACAAATGTATGTTGTTTTCGTTTTAGGACACTTATTAAAACATTTATGATGTATAGACACATGAAAACGTGAGAAAAACACATTGATGCACAGGAGCCAGAAAACATTGTAGATACCTCTCGAGTTTTTAGTATTCCGATGTTGTCATCACAAATTTTGCGAGCAAGTACGCAGGGAGTATTGTTTATTGTGAGCTTATAAACTCTCATGTATGCTTTATTTGTTTTTTATCTGTTCAAAGTATGTCAGAGGTTTACTGATTTGGCGTTTTAGATTAACATTATAATGGCAAGCATGAAGTAACCCGTATTGAATTTAACAACTATTTACGAGGAATATGAACGAAATAATTAGCGTATATCTATAAGGTGTTCCTATTATTTCTACTTATAAGTTCATAATTATATATCACGTGATAAATCCGCATTATGACAGTTACCCGTTGCAAAATTTACTGCTGCAGGATGCGGCAACTCTGCAAGAGCCTCATTTAGTGTGCGTTTCTCTTCCTCGTTAATTGATTTAGTCCTCTGTTTTCCCAGTTGCATGTAATGGGATACTGAGTCTTCAGGATCCAATAGAAATTCGACATTAAGGTGCTTGTACATTTCCTAATCCAAAAAATTGTAAAATTAAGTGCTTGGTAATCAAAGTATGTCAACATGAATCAAAATCTTGACTTCACTGAGTCCAGAAAAGCAACAGAGTATAACAAACTACACATACGTTGCTGACAAAATTATTGGGCTTGGGCTTTGGAAAACATTGAAATGCATGATATAATTCGAATATAATTTGTTTTATTCAGTTCCCCACACACATTCGTTCTGCTCGACTTCAAGGTAATTGTCTTCGGACATTACATGAATCAAACTTGTGTCCAATTATAACCAATGGACTTTGTTGACCATAGGGTGCCCCCCATCATTTTTAGAGCGCTGTAATCAGAAAACTTTATTACAATAAAGATGCGAATAATCAGTTTCTTGATTTTAGTGGTATATAAGATGAACATCACTGATGATGAGATACTGGGACATATACACGATACTTTTCCATGGTTCTGGACAACCATAGTTGCTAGAATAAAATTCGTATTTTTTGAGAAAAATTTTCTGACACCGATGTGTATCGTTATCGTGAAAGAAAACTTCGTACAGAAGAGAAAACTTATGATGGACAACAATTTACCTGCATTAAAATATGCCATCGTATGTCTTTGGATTTACTGCAATTCTTTAACTTTGCTACCTAGATTTTGACGAGAGTTTTTAAGTGTTATGGTGCAGACCTATTATCTGAAAAGTCCGGAGATATTAATTATATCGTTCACCTTGCAATGGGAAATGTTATGGAATCGTACTTATTTAACTGCCCATCACTCGTATATATGGTCTTAGTTGCACCACTCAAATTCAGAGTAGACCTAAAATCTGAATTTGACCTACTTTATAACAGCGAATATCTAAGGACTGTCAGTAAGTGAATCGTAACCCACATAAAAGTTAGCACAAATGTACATCATAAGCTGCGATATTTTGTTAGCAAAATCAGGAAATTAGAAAAATAGGAAAAAATTGAACTAGGGACACTAGGAATCTGAGTTTACAACAAAAATAAAGAAATATGGAGGAAACATATGTCTGCGCTGATACAACTTGTTTTTAGCCCCGTCATTTGGAACCTTCAACCACACGTAACAAGTGTCTCTTGGGTGACAAGCAGGATGGCTTTACCTTCTGGCACCCATTTGTTTGGTGGCCAATGTACTCATGGACTATTATCAATTCATTACCTCACGGCAAAAACTAGCTAACCATACGCAACATGACCCAGTCATCTCATTTGATGACTTGTTTTTTGATGGGCTTCCAATAGAAAAACGAAAATAATTATCTTTACATTGTCTATTAACTTAAAACATTAGTTTTTCTCTTACGAAACGTGAGACATGATACTCCATTTCTTCGAAAATACGGCAGGAAGCCTTGTGGGAAATTTTCACCATGTACTACCAAATAGTTTAAATGTGCGATAAACTTGACCTTAAGGGAGAGCTGTCCATAAATCTGCACTAAATTGCTACCTGCAAGCCATTCTCACATTTCCCGTAGAAAACCAATTAGCCGGCTAAACTTGGATTTACCACATCACCGCACTCCCTAGGGATGGCTCCTCATATTTCACTAAACTACTTGAAATACAAGGATAGCGTGGTCGTTGAACTAATTTCGTTAACTAGAACCATTCTCAAATACAGAATATATGGAGCTCAACGTAGTTTAAAACGAGCATATACGCTAGACATTAATTACGCCTATTATTTGACAGTGGGAACAAATACATTGATGAATACGTTACAATCATATTTAAGAAGCCACTTTATATATGACTACTCATTATTTACCATACGTCAAATACTCGTTAACGCTGTGGACATACACAATTGTGCAGATCACGTCACTACCACTGAAATTTTTCAAGTTTTTAGAAACAGTATTGTAGGCATTCCAACTAACATAACTTTGAGACAAATTACCTTGCAGTTTTCGCATCGACAAAGGAAGCTTCTCCAATCAGAGATCCAAAACACTGATGGTACTAGATTGGGGTCGAGGTTGTCCAAGTTATCAAGAGACGAACAGCAGAACTCAGGCACGTGTTGTTTCATTTTACTAGCCCACATGGACAAACGACAATAAGAACTGTCTTCCGGATGAGTCGTACCTTCATTTACGGTTTTCCTCAACCTTTTAGAATCTGGAGTATAAATAAACTTAGTCAAGCTGTTACTCTTTGTAAAAGATTGCCGGAACGTCTCCTCAGTGTTATATGCATACATAAATAGAAACGCGTACTTTTTAACGCACATAAAACAGGTCATCTCGTTATAATCTTCGGGTGGTTCGAATTCTTTATCCATGTTGAGATGCTAAGATAATTTAGGAAGTCATAATCAGGTTACCTCCAAGTGAAACCAGTTTTCGCATATGCCACACTGAATCATTTCTTCAACACCCTAGTAAAGAAAATAATAAGATACAAAAAACTACGTCATAATCCGGGTCTGGATACGGACGTTGACACGTGCAATATCGGTTAGAAAAATTGTCATTGTACCGGTTCAAATCATTTTCATCGTCCTTCTCCTTTGAAATTTAGTACTAGATTCGTATTACCTCCCACAATAGACAGTTACAAACACCAGCAAATTTTGAGTTTCCACAGTCGCATCTGAAATATCGTTTGGTGTATAGCTCAACTATATCATGGTCAGAATGACACTCAATCGCACAAGGAAAACAAATCGCAGCTTTTACTTCGTCTACGTTTAAACATGTCTGACAAGTGTAAAGCGCCTGTCGTTTTACATATCCCTATATACTGTAGTGAACAGGAATTATTTGTTACCCTTATAAATGTACAAGCAGATCTATCTTCGACCCCACCCATGGTAATCCAGTTCTCCTCATCAATTTCCTGCAGTACATTCCCAATCTTCACCACTGTATCTTCTTCCTCACTATCACTGACCATCTTAAACCGAGATAAGCAGAATCATATTACAGTTTCCGCCACAAAATTCAGTCACCTTGATTATTCATGAAATGTGGGAAAACTAAACAAAATCTTGTTACAAATAAGTGTCTGCATTTTATTATTAATTATGATATGTGAAGGTACGTCTTCATAACTTGTCAAACTATGCTACCGCATCATTTAAAAAACGTAAGTTTAATAAACTCGTAGAAGTAATTGTAATTCTTTTTTTTAATGTGTCAGCATCTTCGGCTCAAACTCCTAACTAACTATTTTAGCTTTATCACGATTAGTGAAACATTCCTTTACATAGTAACCGCTTTGATTATCACTAGTTGAAGTTTTATTTTTTAGTACCTGTTTCTGCTTAAATAGTTTAACCGACTTTTGATAAACAGGCTTATCTATCGATTGTCAGTGGATGTCTGGTGTATCCTGTTATGGAAAAAAGTATGTTTAACGTGAAAATGAAAAATGTTAGTAATTAATGACAAAATACATCACAATTAAGCATGCTGTGATGATTGGAGCCGCTTCTTCCTGTATAGAACAATGAATTAAGGATGCCTCAACTATTTGAAGTTTGACAGCAACCTAGCCAGTAATACTTCCATGATTGAAATTTTCTAACTAATTAAAATCAGAATTCGGAAATGAAGGAGTTCGAAGATGTATTAAAAAGGCTATCGGTACGTTGAAAGATCGTTTCGTCTAGGTTGGCTAAAGGTTGAAGGAGAAGTGAAGCACAACGCACCCCAACGTGATCTGATGCGGACTATTCACCAAACGCTTTCAGCTAGGTGAGTCCATTGAAACTAATGGGGTCAGCATCGAAAGCCGAAGGCTTACAGAACCACAGGGCCGTTCTCGAACTAGAAGCTTCCTTATATATATGTTGCATTCTCGCACGTTGCTGTCATGAGCCTACAATTGTATCTGAAAATCCTGCTGAGTTGCAGATGAAGCAGTCATTGATGTGCATTGTATTGGACTGTTGAAGTTTTTGAAAATGTTGCTAAAATAGGAGCTCTGCTGAATGCCGTCATTATTGCTTGGGTCGCTTGAACCTAATAACTGATGAACGGCTGCAATTAAACGCAACTCAATTTCGTAAATGTGCCCTTCAGCTTAGCAACCAATCAGAATGAGGCGGGAATCATTACATCCGCCATCTTCGTAAGCAATGGCGGTCGGCTTTCTTCGTTCTGTGCTTCTTTCAGCTATTTCTTTTGTGTAGCTACGGAATTTGATGTTTCAGTGTGCTAAAATTCAAAAGTTAGTGTAATACTCTGAACGTTGGAGCAAAGTTTTTCCTGATTTTGCTTTGTTTTCTGGGTTTTATCTGCTGCTAATGAAGTCACTGTATTTATTCAGCTAAGCTGGCTAGTACTAACATAAGACCTTACGTTTTCAAACGACAATCGGTTATGTTTTACCTTGTTTTCTAGATATCCGAAGCCGAAGTTCGTTTTTATTTAGCTAAAATAATTGTTGCTGCCGCCTGTGACTAACTGTTCGCATGTTCGTTCCTAACTGTCCTTTATGATGCTATCGGCAAAATGAAAGGAAACAATCTGCGTTTTTTAATTTTTCTTCAGTATTATGGACAACACTATTCCACCAACGAGTCAGACTAATACAGAGTGCCCAGCAGCAGGGTATATCGGTACTGATTTCGAAAGGACCCAGACTTCCGACAACTATAGATGAAGTCACAGATGCTACCAATCTATTGCAGAGGGTTTGTTATGAAAAATACGCCATATAACAGTAATAGAGGGGTTGTACTCATTACTCAGTGCGTTAAAGCAAGCTTAACATTGAAAAGCCGGAAATCTGCTACCAGTGTCTAGTGTATGTTTGCTGTTTTGGCCATAAAAGGAAGCCGAAAGGTCATGATCAGGGAGTAAAAAGGTAATTAACTTTTTATTAAGCTCACTTTTTTATAGATCATATTTCACCACTCGCAAAATTGTGTTTTTTACGGTATGATGTCATCTGGCACCTATGTTCACCCTTACGATGAAAAGTGCCTGAAAATTTTCACCTTCATATTCGAATTATTTTTGGACAACTGTCTTACAGTCTGAGTGCTTCGTACGCCCTGGGAGACTAGATTCCTACATTATTCGTAGTTCCAGTATAACTTTCTCACGCAGTAAGTTCAAATTAGACACTAGTCTTTCTAAATAAGCCTGTTAATCTAATATCCATATTCTCTATTTCAGTTAATCGATGAAGACATATACCACGTGCATCTGCTGTATACTGCCATTTTACTCCAATTCTAACTGTTATATCTTACTTTTGAATAATAAAATTGCTATATGCTGCAAATACAGATTTATTTGTTTTGATGGAGGTAGGGGGGCTCATGGGATTTTCACTAAAGAGCTAAGCGAGTGCGTAAACCAGTGTAAGGTACCATACGGGGTGCATTTGAGTTACTAGTGTTCCATAAGTGCGGGTAGGGGCATTGCTTGCTTGTCATATGGCATTTGAATTAGAAGCTATAAGATAAGGCGCAGGTACGGTTAGGATGTGTAACGCGTGTCCATCCATCAGCTGGTGTGACAACCCATGGTGGTTAGAATAAGCTATGAGAGGACCCGAGTCTGTAGGTCTCCCAAGGAAATGACGAGGATATGCACCAAATTACTTAACCTCTACTCATTACAGTATAGACGTCTTAGAGGTGACCTAATGGCTTACAATAACCTTAACACTTCTGAACATCCCCCAAAACACCTAATTAAGCTTAGTTCCAACACTAACCTAAGGGGTAACACCCAGAAACTAGACACACAACATAGCAGAACGGACTGTAGGCACAACTTCTCCTTAAGAGTTGTCAAATGCTGGGATTTTCTGCCGGCCGAGCTAGTCCAAGCGACTTCGCAGGAGTCCTTTAAGAGGCAACTGGGTTTATTCTTAAGGACTAAGTATAGTATCATACTATGATTTATCAATTTCTTTTTCCTCTTTTATTGTTAACATACCTAGTTTTCTGCCTTGAGGTATTGGTGATCCCCTGCTACTAGACACGGAAGCCTGTTAAGCGAAAGCTTCTTCTATTCAGTCCACAACCATTTGAACACATGAACTAGGTGCTGAGAGGCTAGCTTATCACAAGTTTCTTGCAACGATTAAGTAGATAAAACAAAGTAGCATTAGATTCAAAAATTTATTCAAGAACTTTCATTAAGAATCGAATAGCAAACAAAGGTTTAAACCAAGTTCCCGTTTAAAAGTTGTATTGGTAATGTTAAGCTGCAGTTTTCGTTGTATTTTTCCACACGAAAGAGTAAAAGAAGTCAAAAAATACTGGAAGTGGTTGTGAGACTAAAATGGACGTCCAGCATCCTTTTTATAATCTGCTGTTCGTTGGATCTCCCGTAAACAGTTCCATAGGGCCATAGTTCTAAGGGCGAAACAGTTTTTATGATCTGTGAAGACTTACTCCTGTTGCATTCCAAATGAAAAAATGGTGATGAATTTAGTCAGAAATGTGGAATATATAAATAACCAAATCATATGTTTCTTAGCAAAGAATTTATGCAGTTGTGATTTACCTTGAGTTCATGAATAGTAGATAAGGTCAGCTACTATTACTTGCGCAAAGCATAACATGTGCTTAGTACCGTATTGCAATGCTTTTATTATTTTGCTCCCATTTAAGTATTCCCATGCATCTGCGTCTAGTTTAACAGGAAAACATACAAGTAGAGTAAGTGTTGTCAAAAAGATTTTTAACATTTGTCCACAGCCAGCTGCATTTAATTGAGACACAGAACATCTAAGACTGTATACTGCTGTTTTGCGGTCAACTAAAAGCTCAGACACTTAGCTACCTTGCTACCGATGTTATTGCTGGGGAAATTGTTTAATGACAGTGATCATGAAATATGGTCAGTGATAGATGTACAGTTTAGAAATAAACACCAAACATACTTATCGCTATCTTATAATGTATGACAGCAACAGCATCAAAGGCACGTTTTTTCCTATTTTTAATCAGACTGATCTGAATCCGTATACACATTAGAAACAGGCAACTCTACTTACTAAACTGATCTGTTTCGTTACAGGCTTCAAGCACTATACTTAAGTATATCATAATTCTTTCAACTAAACTGAATTATACGACAACCAAGAACACTAAACTAAGCAAGTGTCATAGTTATTGTTTCACTTGCAAAGTAGATAAATGGACATAATTAAGCCGATAAAACCAAAACACGAAATATAGGCCAGTTGAACTTACCTAAGAAAAAAAGTAGGATACATATATACTGCTTTAAAGCAGTATTCAGTATGAATTCATACTGAAGACAACAAGGAGTTGACCATAGAAACACAGTTTACAGTACAACAAACCTTTCTTCAGTAAAATCATGCACTGACAGTCTATCTGGAAACAATCAACTATGTGAATAAAATCACTATGACTTGAGATATCATCTCAGCGTGCAATGGACGTACAGTGTAACGCAGTCAGACGTGGCGAATAAAAATCAAAAACAGAGAAAAATTAACTACATAATCTAGTTATTTAATTAAAAATACATTATGAAGTGACAAAATATGTGGTTACTTGAACGCACAAATGACAGTGTGCGATACATTAAGTTTACATTGGTTGCGTTGCGGATAAGATCACCCCTGATGAACTGATTCTTTGGCTTGAATGATGGGATAAACTAATCGGATTGACGACAAACTTTTCGATTTGTTTAATCTGATATCGAAATCCATCTTTTCTTTGAGCCTTTTTGAATTAGTTTCTTATTCGTTTGGAGTGACTATATGTGTTGCCGTTCATTGTATTCTGACCAGTAGTACCTTTAATGTTTTAACAGCCAATAGGTACGAATTTTTATCACTTTAGTTTGTTTGCAAATTTAAGGGACCGTGTGTGGTACAGGCTGGTTTGTAGCTCGAACAATCATGAGAAATAAGAAATCAGTGAGTGTCCACATTAATGAACGGTAGGCACTAAAGTCTTATAGATAGCACATAGAACCATTTGCAGTTCTAAGGCCTGTTGCAAATTGAATGTTTGGGTTCAGTCTTTATAGTCAAATGAACAGAGTAGCATAAAAACTGATAGGCTTGCAGTTAGGTATTCTGTGTTTCTGGAAATGCAATATTAGAGTAACTGTTTCTCAACAAAATTCCCAGCTTAACATTATCGAATCATCCTAGTACTTCAACGGCGTTAAAGAAACAAGGCACGGAAGTCATTGTCTATAATATGTATATGTTGAGTGCATATGGCTTTAGGAAGACTGAATTCTCTTCAGATTGGGACAGAAGTGCATGCTTAACGAATGGAGTACGTTAATCTTTTCAGCACTCGAAGGTTGGTTTAGGTGTCAGCTATGGACTTTTTGTAGATGAATTCAGTCATCTCGAGTTGTTAAAAAATTCCACTGAGTACCATGCAGATTTATCAAGGCAGTTAAACTCTCGGGTATGTAGATCGCCAGTGTAGATGACCTGTGTCGATTGACTGGGAGCCTACTCGAGTTAGATGAGAATGGTATGGAAAATCAACTTGTGTTGAAATCATACAACTATGGTTGCCTACAAACATCCGACGATTATCATGAAATTTATTTTGTTCGTCCGGAAAAAGTGAATGTCACATACAAACTAGTGAACCTTATTTCAGTGGCTGAGGGTCAGTGAAGTTGCATTATACCTATATACCGAATGAAACTATCTACTGATCCACCTAGTACGAAGCACATACAAATATCCTATTTAAATGCTTTAAAGACAAAGTGAGCCGACGTGAATCACATGCATTGTAACTGACAAGTCGAAATGTAAATTTTGCTTATTCATATTATGAACGGAATAATGGCATCATATTTTTTCATATAAAAGTTGAGAACATAACCACGAATAATACTACTCATGGATATCACTACCATGCAGAAGGATCCTACAACCACTGTGCATGATACACAGCACAATACGCACGTGGTTATGATTAATAAAGTCACACTGTTTGTGAAGTGAGTACATGAAAGTCAAATATTGTCTCATTTGGGAGAGAGGATCATATATGCACTGAAAAAAGTGGTAGATCACAAAAATTCAGAAGACTGAACAGAAAAAGGATAAAAGCTTTTCGACTACACTCCATACTGAAAAACTATTCCTACGTACTCTACTGAAAAGAAGTCGAGCTGATGTGATGAGATGAAATAGCAGAATCATATTCTTTACTCATTATGATTTTTATTCAAAATTACCTCCATTTAATTAAGTGTGATGATTACTCAGTGTAGAATTTGTTTGGTTTTCTTCTCAGCGTATCCACGCGTCAGTGGGGGGGGGGTTATTTCATTTGCAAAAATGGTGCCAGTATTTTTCATGAGTTGTGCTGTACATAAAAAAGGAGAATTAAATAAGGGCATAACATAGCACAGAAATAGACTTCTGGATGATAACTAAAACAATTATTACAACTTAGGTAAGACAACATGGAAAAACTTGGTTTCAATAAGTTTTTGTTATCATCCATAGCAGTTAAGTATCAAAATAATGAACTCCAGCTTGTTCAATGATCTTACTTCACTACTCGAGTTCATTTACCAAAAATTCGTTTAAATAATATACTGCTACTAAATTAATGTGTACACTGATGATTAGCTTAAATTTTATACGTACCAGTCAGTCCCAGGCAATGTAAAACCTAGCACCTAAGTACATCAGTTGGGTTTGACACATTATACCAGCACAGGATAATGAAATTCCTAAAGAAAATTTAGAGTAGCTGAAATACCAAGTCAGTAGTAACAAAGTACTTCGGGTTAGTTCTGACACAGTATACGAAGAGTTGTCCTTGGTTATCCGAAAAGTGCAAAAAGTAATTTTTATAAGCTGGTTTTATAGTTGACGATCATTTACAACAGCAATCAGGCGATCACGGGGTTGCATACTTAAATGTTTGGAGAAATGGCACGTTAAGAAGCTTGTGTTTGAAGCTGTTACATAAAACCTGTGGTGTTTTGGTATGGAGCACAAATTAATTTGTTGAACTGAGAGCTCTCACGAACTCAGAATTAGTGAGATCTTTAATACGGACTGACAAAATATCTATGCAATAGTCATCAACGGTGAGCAAAGAAACCAGTATTGTAAGCATGAACTGTGATGTCTTCCTGATGAGATTCAGCACCGTCAAATCAGGTGATAATCTGATTTATATTCTTGTGAAATCTCGCAGATAAAACAATACATCTGAACGGTAGGAGCTTGTATACGAGCAGGCCGAATATTCCATTATTGCTAGTTAGTTCACCAGGGATCGCATCCAACGGAATTCGCCAATGCACATGCCTTACGTCTGTTTTAGAAAAGTAATTCGGTTCTCGTAATTTGAATAGTGTATCTTCAGTTTGTTCAGACGTATGACTGTGTTACAATAACCGAGTATTTGGTGTCAGATGGTAGTCATCACAATTTCAAGTGTTTTCTATATATTTACGGCCACAACAGCGCATTGAATCCAACAAATCTTGCTGCTGATTTGCTTTTATGCTTCTGGGTTTTATCAGCTCATAGTAATTTAAGTTTAGTAATGTTAGTTCTTTATAATACACCGCACGCCACGTTTCGAATCCTTATCAAACAAACACCTAGCACTTACGTGACAGATCCGAAGGCAATCGAGTTGGTTTTTTATCCGACTAGAACTGGGTTTGGAATCATTCTTTTCCGCAGCCTCACCACCTGATAATCTACAATTCTGAGATATTTGTGACCGGTATCTAATGCTAGTTTGGGCTCATTCTCAGCGCCCCATTTTTTCATACGATTGATGAGGAATAAAGCTCTTGAGAAAACCTTTCAGAAAAACAAGTATGCTGAACTTCATTATTTTGACGTCAGAATGCTGAGGATTGTGGATAGCTTATAAGAACGACAAACTTATAATATGTTGCTTAAATCGTTGTTCTTGCTTATGAGTAATGGAAAAGAGTATACACAAAACTGTCGAGTGACCAAACATTTACAATTCTTCAGTTAAAATATAAGCAATTAACTGTTTCACAACAAACTAACCTAAAGATGTTTATATTAGGCTCGTGCACACTTTTCCTCAGCTCTAATCAGTAAGCTGCGGAACTCACTACTCTTCGGTTGAATCTTTCAAGGCTCAACGGTTACTTTAATTCTGTAAGTAGTAAGGGAGAATACTTTGAGTGTTACCCACCGAGCACACCTATTATTAACTAAATTGTCACTCCCCTCAGTTTTTAGGAGGAATATTAAGAAATCATAGCCCTCTGAAAATAAGACCTCATTCTAACTGCCCAGACGCAGATCCCAAGGAACAAATAGTTCGCCGATTCCTCCTGGCAAAGTTGAAGTTGACAAGGATAAGAGTAAAGATTCGTACCTATCTTACAGATATGAATAAGTAAGCTATGTAGAATCATTAGTATATAGGAAGTATCACTCGCGTGTGACGGGACTAGGTTTAGTACCACAGGGTTTAAAATCAGAAACCCGGTAAATAAATCCAATAATTTCCGAAACCTGAGTGATATAATGCTATCTCGAGAACTGGACATACCCGAAACAGCAAAAACCAATTCCCTGTAATGGATTCAGATAACCATCTCAAATAACACAAGTTAATAAAAACACGGTAAATAATAGTACTAAAGATACACCAATAATTCCAAAACTTCGACTAATTAGTACATCAAATTAAATTGCAAACTTGCCAATGTAAGTTGTTTTCCCACCAGGCGCAGCACACAAATCCAAGATACGCTCGCCTAACTGAGGGGACAAGGCAATTACAGGAAGCATAGAACTAGCTCCCTGAAGTATATAATGACCGGCAAGATATTCTGGTGTTGCGCCTAATGGTACTTGTGATGAATAAACAACAAGTCCAACTTTGCTCCACGGTTCCAAAGGATCAAGGTTTACACCGCGATTTATTAAAGCCTATCTAATTATTATAAAACAAAGAGGACTTGCTTGAGCCAATTCCCTGCGACGTGTCTTTAAGGTGTTTGTGCGAATGGTCACTGGCCTGTCGACTTCATTAGCTTCTAAAACCTCAACAATCTGCGACTGAATTTGAGTTCCAATATTTATTACCTCTTTGGGAAACAAATCAAGAAGTTTCACCATAAGGAACTGGTTGTACGAATAGCGAGAACATAAGTCGCTTATCAGAGTCCGAACACACAAACTCCTATTGAGGTCTGCAGGTGCTCTGTTTTTGAAATCGGAGAGGATATAAAGCCAGTTCCGAATGCGTTGGTCTAATGTACTGGAATCCATTGCAGACTTTCCAACCGCATCTTCGGAAGTGAGGTTTGTGATAATATCCTCTTTTTCATTTACAGGTTCTACAGAATCCGCATTTGTCTCAATGTCTTCTTCCAAATCCGATAGACGTCCAAAATCATCAACCATAAGTTCGTCACCGTCATTTTCAAAAAATCCAGTTTGAGTCACAGGCGCACTGTAAAAGAAAAAAACTATTATAAACAGTTGTGCCACTGATTGTTTTACTGTACTTGTTTGTTTGACTTTACCAAACACATACATTCTTCCGTTGCTTGTGACCATGCACGGACTTCCCTCTGCTCAGTAGTTCCACTTGTACTCCTTTGACACGATCTCGGTATTCTTTCGATATAACGAGATCGTCAACATATATATCTTGCCACAACCTTTAATCGCCTTCTGATGTCTGGTTTACTCGGAGGTTTATCGTGTTCTGGTCCAAAATCTCCCTGTATTGTTGATCATACTCAAACGTGACTCGACGCCACACTACTCCCAAGTGAGCAGTGCACGTTTAGTGTAGCTGAAGGAAGATCAGAGTACGATGCAAACTGATCAGTGTGTTTATAAGGCTTCACATTATTTGCTCTAGTGACAGATTTAGATCTTTTGCAGGTGCTATAGGCATCAGGAGAGATTATATGTCTTTTAGATGGCCTGGACATTATCGGAAGTAATTTAAATATAAAGTTTAAGACAGGTATTAGACGTGAAATTCTATGGTAGGATGAGATCCAGTATTATAAGAGAGAAAATATATTAACGTTTATTAGCGAAAAGAGGTAGATAGCGTAAAAACTAGGGAAATCAATGTATGATGTTGAGTCCCAAAATGAGGTGTAAAGTTGATAGAATTCTATCAGTGATGAATTACTTATCGCTAATAAATGTTAAATGGAAGGGAAAAACTAATAGGAAAATCCAATAATACCACGTGAAAGAAAGTTACAACCTTCAAAAACACTGATAACACTAAAACGACTCAGCTGAAAATAAACTTATGGATAACATAATTTTGTCGATCACTATAAATCCGAGGCTACATTTCGTCACAGTATATATCACGTCTTCCAGGTTTAATTTCTCTAGGTTTTTCTTTAGCGTAACAACCGATTGTTTGAATTTCCACTGCCTGATGTTCAGAATGAATTATAGGTTACAAATAAATTTGAAGCTTAAAACAGTCCTTAAAGAATCCAGGATCGATATGTTAATGACCGAGAGAACGTGTTTAATGAAAATGAACCTTTAGCATACCTACACCCATATATCTGCCGAAGATGGCACAGGTATTCAGTGTTTGGCAACGCTTCAACCAGTAACACCTTCTAATATAACTTGTACCCACCAAGAGAAATCAAAAGACAGAATCGTGGAGATCGGAAGATGTGTTTGATGACTATCAATATATCGAGAATCGTCTGATCTCATATGGCTAGCGATCGCAGTAGATGTTGAGCACGGCGTTCCCACTCGTGATCTGGTGCGGATGCATGATCTAGCGCCTTCAGCTAGGTGAGTTCACTAAAACTAATGTGGTCAGCATCCAATGTCGAAAACTTACAGAGCTATTCATTTTGGGGATATTTTACCGCTACATTGTATACTGATTATGTGGTTGGTTATGCTACATTTATTAAATGGAACATGCCATCGAGTTTATGACTATCTTTAAAGAAAAAATGTACATCACTGTTGTGGATGCGGAGGAATAGACCAATAATTATCATGTTAAGTCCAATGGTGTCCTTGGACTTTAAATGGACATTTCCTATTGGTCGATATCTGTCCACTTGTTGAGTATTGTACAAAATGTTGTTTTCTATTTTTATGGTACGATGTGGTATGCTTGGTTAGTATATAAATAGAGTATGTTTGAAGTATAATGATTCATATCTCAGAGGCTGTGGCTTGTGTTCTGGACTCAACTGGCTGGGCTGGACAGGGAAGCAGGACCAATCAGAACTCTAGGCCGTTCGTTCATGTTTACGTGTCACTGTAATCGATCGATAACACAGGGTAGAACTCGACCGCAACATAAAGCCATAACAATCACGCTATAACCCCTGTAGAATTCCTCTGATCTACAAAATAAGGGAGGTAATTGAAATCTGCCTAGCGGTTATACTGAATCAAAATATCAAGAAAGCTTTTGGTGAAGTAATTCATAATCTCTTAATCAACAGACTAGTCTTTTGAAATTAATAACTCTCTTAAAATTCACTAAGTATTTTATCACGAACAGATACCGTAGCAATGAACTCAATTGTACAATATGTACACCCATACCAATAGCCAGTAGTGATTCCAGCTTAGCTCCCTAGGTTGAATGAGTTTAAAATATACATCAAAATGCATACAGGCGCTGTTCTCAAATAGCACCTTTCGTGTGGGTGAGTACCTTTCGTATTATTGACATAAGAAATCAAACTAGCAGTAAATAGGTCTTTATTTAGGCCGTGAGATAGTGCACAATGGAGCGCGATGTTTTCTTGTCAAACACACAAGTCTTTCAACATTCAGTATAAAATGATAGGAAATATGATGCCTATGTATAATTAGGAAGTGAATGAAAGCTTGATCATTAGTGTTTTAACCTTACTAATAAGTTTGCAGCCGATTCTTAACCAATCAACCTAAGTTGTTACAGACCAACATCTACACATACGGCTCAAAACTCACCTATAATGCTAACATCTGCGATATACGAATCTATACGTATCTATTACAGATACGTATTTGAAAATAAAAGTACTTCATCAAACGTGCGTTAATAAATAGTGTCGGAGAACATTACTCTCACAATCCAACCTTCTCTAAAAATATTTCAACTGAAGCATCTGAAATACGAAAATTCTTACGCTTCGTCCCTCGTAAATTCCTTAAAAATAATTCTGGAATCCTTTTTTAAGAGATACTTTTAAGACCCATGATTCAAAACTTTCATTCTAGTCTTTCAACTTAAGTGCATCAGATATACTTGAGGTGGAAGGAATATGACGAAATTTTACTCACAAAATGCTGTCAGACGTCGAAACTCACTGTTCTTTCTTATAGTAGTCTTTTTTCTGGAGACGCTTTGGCTACAGTTCATCCCAGTAATAACAGCTAGTAAGTATTTTATCTGCTGGTTTACCAAACCCTTAAATGTTCCACTACAAAAGGCTAAGCAATAACCAAACCACACTATAAAGGATTTATAAAGCATAATCTTAAGATAATAGCATAATTTGCTGACAAATCAAAAATTCAAATGCTATAGAATAAAGATAGTGTCGTTAGATTTGATATCAACAATTAAAGTGTCCGACGCATGAAAGCTGTAAAATATAAATGTGAACGAACTAGAGTGGACAGAACGAAACGGAAACTATAGTTTCTATTAACGTCATACAGAGTTGTTAATGAGTCGCACGGCGAATGTCATTTTCCGGTTTAGCTGCAAACTCTTTGTACAAATGAACACCAACCTAACTAAATAGTTTATCATAATAAATCCCTCATCATTTGTAACATTTTGATTTTGCCTCCAAAATATCATACATAATGAAACATATTGTTACTTTAGAATAAATTGTTGTTATAAAGTTCACATCTGTAAACGTGAGTAAAGGTAGAAACACCCTTCAAAAAGAGCTGATGGATCAATAAGAGGCAGTCAGACGTGAAAAGTACACATATTTACTTAACTTTATACATCTTTAGTATGAAGAAACCCTTTAAAATACTTGGCTATGCAATATGTACTGATATACGGATATAGTTAACACCTTGTGTAGTACTTTTAGGAGAAACGCATACTCAGGAGGTCTATACACTAATATGTAACCATAAAAGCTGGGATAAACAAAGTGTGGTGAATAAAAAAGTGACAAGGAGGATTCAGATTAGAATTTGTGAGAACACAAAGAGTGAGCGCACCTGCGCCATTGCAAACGATTTTGAGCCATGTCATTCAACGTCTCTAACCATAGGTTGCTATCATCTCGTGGTCCCCAACCAGGTAGTCTACACCTACCAATATGACTCAGTCCACTTGTCAGTGACTTCACGAACTAGTGCCATGTTTTGGTTTGGCCGCCTCTAGCTTTCTTCCAACCTACTCCTATACCACTGAACATAGCACGTCGAGGTAGTCGGTCGTTGGGCATACGTAACACGTGTCCCAGCCATCTCAACTGATGAAGTTTCACTACTTCATCAATTGATTTGCCATCCTTACCTAGTGCCCGTTTCCTAACAACTGTGTTACTTACTCGATGGTCCCATGATATACGAGCAATGTTTCGAAGACATCTATGATCGAATACTAGTAACCTACGAATATCCTCTACTCTTACCGACCATGTTTCACTGCCATAAAGTAGGACGGGACGAACTGCTGTGCAGTAAACACGTCCTTTGGCTGATAGACGGATATCTCGCCTACGCCACAAATGACGCAAGTTGGCAAAAGCTAGTCGAGCCTTCTGTATCCGTGCTGAGACTTCGTCACACACCAAACCACAAGGGCTGATGAGACTTCCAAGATGAGTGAAGCGGTCGACACGCTCAATTACTTCACTCCCTATCATTAGTTCGGGTGTCGATGCAACCCAATCCTGAAGCAACATTTTGCATTTCGAGGGAGAGAATCGCATCCCGAACATGCTTGCATTGTTGCTTAGAGTGGTCATAAGACTGCATTTTGTCCGCGTCTTTACCAAATAGAACTATGTCATCAGCATATTCTAAGTCAACAAGTGAATCTCCCGGTAGAAGTTCAACTCCTGGAAATTTAGATGACGAAAGTATCAGTTCTGAAAGCACATCAAGGACAAAGTTAAATAAGAATGGACAGAGTTGACAGCTTTGATGAACACCACTTGAGATAATGAATTCTGATGACATTTCGCCATAAGCTCTCACTCGACCAGTTGTGTTCGAGTAGAGAGCACGGGAATAACGTTCCACGTACTCAAATCTTTTGGATTAGCGGCGCGAGGTGATAAAGGGACGTGAGAAGGGTTAGTCGTGGAGATAAGAGAGTTATAAGAATGTGTAGGAAAGGTTTGATTGTGACCAACTTGGTCTCGTGTGCTGTTACAGGTATGAGGGCTGATGTAAATTCCCGTCTGCCCACAACTTGGAAGGGTTGTTCTTGAGGTACCTGAAAAGGAAGCTGGATTAGTGATG